AGCATCAATCATAGTTCTTAAGTTTCTTAAGGGGCAAATATTGATATAAAATAGAAATCTAAAGTAATTTTACCCATATTCTATAGAACTCTGAAAATCAGGTAATCAGGAAATATTGGCACTGAGCTGCATGAGGGAAGAATTTTATAAATTGTAAAGATACTCAGTTCAGACTCTTCAGGGAAGTATCCTTTACCTTTGTTCTGACCATGATGCCTCTAGAACTCTTTAAACGGCAGTAGAAAATAAAGATTTAAAAAACCATTTGATTGAAAAGAGTCAAAACAACTTTCAAAAACTTATGTAGAATCTATATTATTCCACCTGGTTTTAACCCTTCCTACTCTGTCCTAAAACCCCCTTGAGTTACACTGCATTGACCACGATATATTTTTTTCTTTTTCAATTTACCTTCAATAAGGTAAATAAAATTTAACAAGGTTTGGGAGATAATCACAAATAACATGAAGAGGACTGCCATTTTCTAGTCACATAACTTTGGACAGTTATAAAATACACATTAACTAAATAATTAAAATTAAAAATAAAACTTAACCAGTGTACTCTGCCAATAAGTCTTTGCTCCCTCATAAAGATGAACTCTATCTTTATGGAACTCTTCTTCCTAAAATCTCTTATTTTCCTTTGTTCTTCAGGGTTCAAAGACAGTCCTGGATTTTACTCTAACAGGTATTTCCGCGTGACGTCAGATGATTTCGAGCTGTCACCTTACATCTGGTTCTTCCTAGTCAGTAGCAGGTGATTAGTGAATGCCTGCTCTGTGTGATGTCATGTGTAGGGGGTTCATATGCTATAATATGTTTAAAATGTAATCTCTGTCCTTAAGTTGGGGGATCTGCCGAATGAGCACACACCCACGCACGAACACACACATGCTCACACACTGTGGTAGTTCCAGGTAACGGTGCAAGGAGTAAGCCCTTCGGAAATGTGGAGCAAGGTGTGGGTCCCCACAGCAAACCTACCTGGGGACGTCTACTGGAAAGACAGGACTAGGCCCTTAGGGAAAGGTGGAATTTAGGGGAAAGAACGAGAGAGTGAAAAACAGAAGAAGGAAAGGCAGAAAGGCAAATAGTTAAGGCAAAATAAATGCACTAGTTTGGCCAAATCCTTTATCCAGGGCACTGTAGAGAAAATGCTGGAGCGGAGGGAGAGTGTTGATGTTGAGCATCAAAAGGAAGAATATGTGTGATAATTTGGCAACACTAGTTCTCCAAAAATAATTTATAAGAAGCTTCAAAACATCTTCTTTACCAATCTCAGGAATACTTCTATATTCTACTGTATAGGGTTTTACTACTTTGGAGTTGAATAAAAAGACAAAAATAAAAAAAAACCAGTTGCGTTTTGTCCTGAATCGAAGGACATTTATGTTTATGATCTTGGATTCAACAGGGCAAACGCTAACCTCGTTGCTTTCCTTCTTGGGCCTCATCTCATGCGGGTTATCGAGCACTCTTTGGGTGCTTTCAAAGTGGCTGCCACCTGCTCCGATTTCCTCTGTCTCCGGCGTCCAGGCGGTTGTCCTGTTCTGGAATTTCTTTTCCCAGCACTTCCTACCAATCCCTTGCTCATCATTCCCAGTCTTGCACATAAGTCAGATACTGCGTTCTGCAAGCATTTCTTCGGCTCCAAGCATATCCTTCCACACCTGGCCTCACTCAGCCCTGGATCACTCAGCGCTATGTCACACTCCCCAAAGCACAGCTCTGATCCCGTGAAACTCAAGCCCATAACATCAGAGGCTCCATCCACATTGACTAAAAAAAACCCCTTGGCTCGGTATTTAAGACACTCAACAGTCTGGTTCCATGGCATGTATTCTAAATTCTATTTTACTTTCTATATTCTAAATTCCTATCAAAACGAATAGTCAATGTTTTCTAGGCACATAGCCCCGAGTTCCTGTTTTGGGTTGGTGTTATTCTCTCTATTTGAATTGTTCATTGTCTACAACCTCAGATAACATCGTCTTATCTCCAAAACCTTTTACCTCGCTGACTCTGGGTAACCTGATCCCGACCATAAATTCCGCGCTCATTGTTAACCTTTTATGGATCTGCTTACTTCATGAATTATGAGAAGAGCTGGGAGGAAAAGAAAAGGGACTCTCAAGGAAACCAACCACACGTTTACCGAGTGTTTTGAAAACTGTATTAAAATGGGAACTACTTTAATATTGTTTATAGTCTCATTTATAGTAACGATCAGGTATTACAAGAGGTGATATCAACCAGTAACTGTGTATACAGCACTATGAGGGACACACAGAGAGCAAGGATTATGTTCCAGGCACTCATTTCATTTGCAGGAATCCTATGAGGTATGTATTACTAGTTAGCTCATTTTCGGCTGTGACAACTGAGGAAAATGATGGCTCTCACTCAGCTATTACGTGCTGCCTCTGGGATTGGACCCCTACAGTCCGTCACCGTGTCCTGCTGATGCCACCAAGCCTTCCTGCTTCTAGTTTTACAACCACATCAGCATGGCTACCTCCTTCAAAATAACAAGTACCATGACTTCAGGACACAAAAGTGTGCTATTCAAACGTTTTACAAAAATCCTTTCACTTCCGTTTAATTTTCCAACTACTTTGAAGTGCATTCCATTATATGCTGCCAAATTTTGATTGAGATATAGTATTTTTTTCTTTGCCTCACAATGTACATAAAATGCCTAACATTCTTTAAGTATAAGCATCTAACATCTCTATAAAGATGAAGATACAGAATCCTGAAATGACATTCTATCAACAGTATTTGACATCTTATGTACAAAATTCCAATGACAGCAGCAGAAACAGATTCAAAGAATGAATGTCAAGTCAATAGTTTTCATGATAATTAAAATTTTCATTATAATTTATATAAATTAGGAAAAGACAAAATTTGGTCTTCCTCTAATTTTGATCTTTTCTGAAATCCATTTCCAGCAAGCCGAGGTAAACTTTCCTTTTGTCTTTCTAAGAAAAACACACATAAATATTTTTTTACATAGCTCATAGATTGACTATGAACAGTTTAATTTTATAAAGCCATAGTGGCAGCACATCAGGCATTAAATACACCATTTTTATATATTGTTTTTAACATAATATTTTTTCTCTGAGATATTTCACAATTATACTGTAGCTAAGTTAATACTATAATGAAGACTCTAAAATACCACTTGCCAAATGAAAACTACTACTAACCTAAGAATGCCATAATTTTGCCTAATATTATTTCAGGCTCTAAAATATAATGTTTAATAAACTATTTTATTGAATCATTAATTTTTATTTTAATACCGACACTTACACTTAAAAAAAAATGCCTCTCTACATATCCCCTAAATATGGTCCATTGCAGCCATCATCTACTGCATGTTAGCACAAGGAGTCGCATCAGCAGCCTTAAACACTTTTATTATGAATGTCTTTCATTTCTCTAAAGTAGGTCTTTTTTTAAAGGGAGAAAACAGGATCTAACTCTTGTTTGCTCTTTAAACTTTTATTGTTTAAGCATTTTATACAGGGAGCAAGCATTAGCGTACTCAGGAGAACTGCTGAAGTAAAAGGCCTCCAGCTACCCTCTGCCTGGCTGATGGGATAAATCAGGGATATAAAAACTTTTGTCTGATTGCTCACTTTCCTTGTTTTAGAGTACTGCTACTCTCGAGAGCATATATTCATGTTCTCTGACTTTGAGTTTTATTACTTCTTTTGTATTATTTAATACATCTAAAGAACTTCCAAAAGACAAATTTTTCCATTTTGAAAAAGTAATGGTTTGGAACCTGATAAAACACATTAATGTTCGGTGTGGTTTGGGCAAAGCTACAGAGTGAAAGTGCTAGAAATCAATTAGGCACGTTCTTAAAGACATTCACATGTCAACAGAGTAAGATGTTTAAAAAGTCAACAAAAATAATATTCTGAGAAAGGCCAAATGAAGATAGGCCCATAGTGCATTTCTCTTTCAGATCTTTGACTAGATACTTAATGCAAAAATAGGGGAAGAAAGTAGAAAAAATAGAGAAAGTAATATGCTTACCTCAATAACTTGAAATTAGAAGTATATGATGTTTAACTTTAGGAAGCACATGTAGACATAAGTTTTAACTCATCCTAACCACTGAATGGTGTATACACTTAATTATTCATATTCTAATTTTTTCCCCTGAATTGTAGGTTTTACCAGGATCGCTACTTTTTAGTAAACAAGAAATTGATATGCTTGGCCTATTGAATAAGGCCACACATTTTTAAAGTGTCACACACACTTCTGAAATCCACAATGTATCAATTTTTAATACATCCACTCTCCCAGCTCCATTAAAAAGATGGTAGGGGAAAGATTTTAGAGTAATTAATGATATAGTTAGCTGCTAAATATTAATAGGAATCGTAGTCTTGCATAAAATATAACATATAAACGTTGCCCATACAGATGCACCAGTAATTAAAGTTGAATATGTAATTACACTGATTTATAAGACAGGCAAAAAGTTACACTTTACTAGCTTCTATGTAAACTGTGGGTAACAGTTAAACTTTGCATTTTATGGTTTATAAAAACAGGCACTATCTTGACTACAGTTCATAAATGGTTTAGAGACCTGTAATAGTAGTAAAAATTATGACAACTTATGCCATCACGACTATTCTCACTGCACCATGCAAACCAAACCATGATAATGACCATGAGAAGTAGACTCATCTTAGACGCTGTTTCACACCCAAGAGAGTGTGAGCCGTACTAAGAATCTGTAGAGGACTGCTAGTACGATAATTATTATAAGACATTGGAGAGAATCTAAAAGATGTCTTAAAACTGATTCTGGTACACTTTTTCGCATAACGAACATGGTGCAATTTACCTCCACTTAAACTTGCAGTTTTTACTTACACATCATTCAAAACTTCAGAAGAATACCACACGCAGAGGTCAGGAATCAGGGCTGTGCCCTGCGTGGAGTCTGATACCCACACTTAC